TTTAAGTGTTGTTTCCTGTTTAATATAAAGCCATAAATGACCCCATCAGCCCTGTCCGTCTAGAAGGGGCCTGAGTCAAGAAAATGAGAACTAGTTACCTTCATGGTGCTTTCTGGTCATCCTATGGATTGGATATTTTTGTGTATGTGTATCTAACTTATGTCTCTACTTGAAATGTGCCTATGTCCTGTTGTTCTGCTTTCAGGCAACTTCTCCATCATAATGATCCACAGGGCAGTATTCACTTGCTGACGGTTCTACTCAACTAATTCTCAGACTTTTATGGCTACCAGTACAATATAAATTACCGTAACACATTTTAATATGATTTGTATTAAGTGTCAATGAAAAATGCTGCTTAGGTAAAATACCATCTAGAAATGAAATACCTAATGATTTGTGAAAAAGCATTGAGCAAGCTCCAGTGAACAAGCAAATTACTACAGGGCACTTTGCTTGTGGAATCTGTCAGCGCCACTGTATCTGGGTCTATTGTCAAATAAAGCATATTGTGTTGGTACCACAAAAGTAAAGAGATGCAACAGCAGAAGAGGAATTGAGTTTCAGTCAAAAGGCAGTTGTGATGTTTTATGAAAAACATGGAACTTGCAGAAATGATACCCAAGTTGAAATCTTGCCTCTTCAACTTTCTAACTGTGTGACTTTAAGAAAATCCTTTACCTACCTGAGACTCACTATTTTTATCTATAACTAGGTAAAATGTGCAATAAACTTGCTCTCACAAGACTGCGGTGGCATCAAATAAATTATTTTTAACCACATACATAATAATATGCCTGATATTTGGGAAAGTCTCCATATTAGCAAAGGGCCTAAACACATGGGATTTTCTTTACTCCCTCCTGAAACATCATTAACATGACAGTTAAGGAATTATGTAAATTATAAAGAGCCATAAGGAAAGATAAAAAAGTAAAGGATATGCCACCAGGTGAGATATTAACTAAATTTTCAAGAATTTAAAGTAGGTTATAAGAGTGGCAACTGGCTTAACATAAATAAGAAAACTGGAACTTATGTCTCCACAGATGGGAGAGGCCAATAAAAATCAAGCCATCTTGAATACGATAATATCAGAGAGGCTCAGGAATTGAATGCATGAGGTACTCTTCAAGGCTAGAAACAGGACTGGTTGAAAGTCTAAAGAACGATTAGAAGGTTAGATGCCTTATCTTATGGTAAGATGCAGTGATTATTTCTGTAAATATTGAACAAGAGAGTCTCAATGATCAGGAATGTTGGACACCACGAGGAAATGAGTCAAGCTCTCTACTGAAAAATGGGAATTAAGTAAAAGTTGACATGCTGAATGGTGAAAGTCCATTCCCCCATCCCCTTTTTCAATCTCAGAATGCTGGCAAAGAGAACATCTCTTTAGCATAATTGGCTCAACAGAAAAGACCTAAGATTGTCATATTCAGGAGTCACTCAACAAAATGGCCAGAGCATCTTACCTGAGTGGCGTATAGTCAAGTCCACCAGTCAACAATTTCTGTCTATATCCATGGAGTTTGAAATTAGCATTTTAGGCCGGGCGCGGAGGCTCAAGCCTGTAATCCCAGCACTTTGGGAGGCCGAGACGGGCGGATCACAAGGTCAGGAGATCGAGACCATCCTGGCTAACCCGGTGAAACCCCGTCTCTACTAAAAAATACAAAAAACTAGCTGGGTGAGGTGGCGGGCGCCTGTAGTCCCAGCTACTCGGGAGGCTGAGGCAGGAGAATGGTGTGAACCCGGGAGGCGGAGCTTGCAGTGAGCCGAGATCTGGCCACTGCACTCCAGCCTGGGTAACTGAGCGAGACTCTGTCTCAAAAAAAAAAAAAAGAAATTAGCATTTTAGTGTCTCACTCTTAAACAGTAACAGACAACCATGGATCAGCAGTATTTGCAAAGACCAGTGTAAACAAATGTAAGGCACCAAAATGTAATATATATCAAATTCCAAATTGAACTGCAAAACATCCCTCCAAACAGGTAGCCAAAGACTATTTGTACAATTCGGGAATTCCTCACTCACGTTCAGGAGAAAACAGGTAAAGAAAAAGGAAAACTGAGAGAAGGATTTCTGTGAAGAAAACTGTGCTATGAGTGCCTCATCACCACCAAGAAAGATGAGGTATAGTTCTGTTATCAAGATAACCTGAGGTTATCACTCAGGTTAAAAGAGGGACTTCAGTGGGACCACTCAGAGAGGTGGATATGTGTGCCTTGGCATTAGTGAGATGCAGTTAGTGGTATCAGAGTTATCCCTGGAAAAAGTCCATAGGTGAGTCTGGCTGAAAGAGTCTATGGCAGCTGAATAGAAGCATGCAGCTAAAAATCAATTGTAACTCCACTGGCTGTCAGAGAAAAGAGTAAGCTATCCATGGTCCTTCTATGAAAATTTGAGTGGAATAGATGATCCGGAACCATGTTAATAATTTCTAAGGGTTCACTAGGGGGGAACAATGAAAGCCCCTTGATAAAAAGAATCTTTACAAAACAAATCCTTAAAGAAACATGACAAGGACAGAACAGCCAGTCAAGACACGTAAAGGGCAATCAAGAGTTCACTGTTGGACCTGTCTTAATCCCAAAAAGAATTCAGGGAAAAAAGTCAGAGCTAAACACTGGCCAGGTCTGGAGAGCATACAGCCAATTTAACAACAATCCCAGACAAGTTAGACCTTCCTGCCTTCCATTCTCATCTCCATCCTCCCTAGTGTTTCAAGCCTACAGCAGGCAGGTGTCAATGCTGGCAATAAGGGTGAGGGTGGTAGATAACAAAGTGGGGTCCGGAGAAATGAAAGGCCATACCCCTGTCACCTCCTGCAGCTTGAAGGTCCTAAAAAAGAGAAGGAGTGGCTGTCACTTTTAAAGTGCTGTAAGCCTTAACTATTACACAAACCGAATTACCTATGGGCTTAGTTTTTGTGTTTTGTTTCTTAAATTGATTTTATATTTAGAACTGTTTTTTAAGAGTAATCAGAAAAGACAGAGGACTGCACCAGCTTTTATTTGTAAGAGAGGAGAAATCCTTCCCCACTGAGTTCATTCTAAAAGGACAGGAAAAAAAAACAAAGTAAAGCAGCTTTCTGATTCCATGTTTGCTCAAAACAAACATAAAAAGAAGAATTTTTTTTTAAAAAGACAATTCAGAAAACACATGAAACAAACATACAAAGGGGGAAGAATGGGTCATGTAGAAAGGATCAAGGATAAAAAAATTTTAATAAAAACTTGCCAACCATGGAAGGTAGAAGACAGTGAAGCAATGTTTTCAGAATTATGAAGGAAAATAGTTTCCACTTAGAATTCTATGCCCAGGCAACTTAAGGGAAATGACAGAATAAAAATATTTTCAGATATTCAAGTTCTCAAAAATTCTTTCTCAGAAAGCTACTAGGGGATTTTCCCCACCAAAATAAAGGTGGTAACATGTCTAAAACACAGACATGGGACCCAGGAAACAGAGCATCCAAAGAGAAAAGTAATAAAAGGAATTTCTAAGAGTAATTACTAGATATAATTCTAAGTTACTGAACCAGAATGACTGTTACTCAGCAGGAAGAAATCATTTCATGTTGAATCAGGAGGAAGAAAGTCTCCTGGAGGGATATCTCCAGCCAAAAAAAAAAAAAAAAAAAGAAAAAAAGAAAAGAAAAGAAAAGAAACTGACTTATTGCCAGATGTAGTTGACCATTTTGAAAAGAATTTCACAGTTCTGTTACAGAACTTCGTGATAAGTACAATGAAAACAAAGCTAATTTCATAAAGGATTCAAATGTTAACTTAAGAAAAAAATGAATTTATACAAAAAAGACACTGTGATAATATTAACATTACTATACCTCCGTGTGCTTGGCACTGTTCTAAATACTATGCTTGTATTGTCTCTAAATCCTCATAACAACCCTATAAAGTAGGCAATTTCATTAGGACTATTTTACTGATGAGGAAAGTGAGGTACAGAGATGTTAAATGACTTGAACAACATCATACAGTTAATAAATACCACAACCCAGATTTGAACCGGGAAGTCTGACTCTAAAATCCAGACTCTAGTGTAGTCAGTTTGCTACATGGCTTACTTGTGAGCAGTATTTTATGATTGTCAACATATACACACTGAATACTGATCTAATCTGTAATTATGATATAATTATACATTGAAAAAACAGGGGAGGGGAAATATGTTGGGACTGAGTGGGGTAATAACAACATTTCTAAATCTCATCTTCCCTCCTAGACAGTCAATACATAATGGTTGAAACTGGAAAAATAAAACAACCTATAACAAGATAAGTTATTATTTAAAACACATAAGCAGGCCAGGCACGGTAGTTCATGCCTAATCCTAGCACTTTGGGAGGCCGAGGCAGGCAGATCATGAGATGAGAAGTCCAAGACCAGCCTGGCCAATATGGTGAAACCCCATCTCTACTAAAAATACAAAACTTAGCTGGGTATGGTGGCAAGTGCTTGTAGTCCCAGCTACTCGGGAGGCTGAGGCAGAAGAATCGTTTGAACCCGGGAGGTGGAGGTTGCAGTGGGCCGAGATCGCACCAGAGATCGCACCACTGCACTCCAGCCTGGGCAACAGAGCAAGACTCCATCCAAAAAACACACAACAACAACAACAACAAAAAATAAGTAAATAACAGAAGAAATAGCTAAAATAATTTGGAGAGGAGAACTAGATTTGGGGATGAGAAAGAGACTTTTTCAATATTCAACAAGAAAAGTCTTTTTCAATGTTACCCTTGAAGTAATATTTGAGGTTTTAAACTACGCATTTGTATTTCTGTGATTTAAAAAATCAATTCAAAGGGAACTTATAAATGTTGGAGAAAGGTAGAGAGGGATGGTGTCTAGTACTGAAATGGGCGCTTCGATAGTAGTGATAGGAACCAGGACTCCCATGACTACCAGGAAAGGTGTTGCTGGTCTTATAACTACCTACTGGGGTGTGGGATACAACCTCTCAAGTCGGGTCATACCTTCTGCACCAAACACCTCTCCACAGTGAGAGCAGAAGAAGTGTTCTGGGTGCCAGGTCTGGTTCATTGCTGTCAGCACTTTCTGAAAAGGGAACACACAGATATTACAATGATGCAGAGTTGTAAAGCATGACTCTAGTTCTGAACGATTGAAAGCTGGAGAGGAGTGGGAATTTACTTACATCCAGGATGGGAGCAGCACAGTAAGCACAGCGTGGAGAAAAAAGTTGGTGGTAGTCGTTGGGGCAGTAGGCCAAGCCATTCCGCTCAAAGAAGGGACTGGAGCCAATCTCTTCTTTGCAATGAGTACAGACAAAATGTTCAGGATGCCATGATTGCCCTAGAGCATGGATCACCTGTGGAGTGAAATGAAGCCTGACACAGGAGCCCAGTTGAGTGCTCTATAGCCTATAGGTTGCACAACTCTAGGGAGCACTCTTCACACTGTACCCCTTGTAGACAACACCCTGTGGAATTACACAACACTGAGGCCTAGACCTAGGTTCCACCTAAGGCCATCTGTTGTCTGTGCTTTATGGATTGATAATAAAAGGATGCCCACTTCCCTGACTGATCACTGTGATGAAAGCCTGTAAATGTTCACAACCACTCCACTGCCACAGGGGGTGGCCGAAACAACACAGAGCACATTAATGACAGACAAGTTGTAACTGTAGCCTTGGCGTGGAAGGGACCCCTGGAAAAGGAAAAGGCCAAATGACAGTTTTTATTCCTCTAGTTTGAACACTTTATTCCATGCCCTATGCAGTCAGGTCTCAAAGCCTTTTATCATAGCTTTGGTGAAGGATGATGCAGAACAGGGGTCTGCAGCTGTGACTTGGAGCTGAGTTCAGCTGAAAATTGTAATCAATCAATTTAGACTGGGAATGTCTGAACAAAGGGAGCAGTGAGAAAGGTCATCTCAGTAAAGGCAGTACAGAAAAATGGTTAATAACTCACTTGGGAGAGAGTCTACTGGTTTCAGATCTTATCTCTACTTCTTACTAGGCCTTAGATATGTCCATTAATGTCTCTGAGCCCTTAGTTTCCTTATCTTTACAAAGGGAGCAACCATGCTTCTTGAAGAGCCGATGTGACCATTAAATGAGGAAATACTTGTAAAGCACTTAGCTCAGTGGCCAGAGCACTGTGATTAGTAATTATTCATGATAACTAAAATATCTCAAATTATAAGGAGAAAGAGCAATCCTTGATGGGACAGAGAAAGACACAGAAGGCTGTAGGACCAAAATTTCTGCCCATCTCACCTTCCCAGCAATCGGTTTCCGGCAGGATGCACAATGGCCCTTGGGCACTGTGGCAATGCCAAGGTCCTGCAATTCCTGCTCCAGACCCCCGAGCATTGAGTCCAGGGAGGCCTTGTGATCCTGCTTGTCTGGTAAGTGTTTCTTGCCAGCATCTGCTCTCACTGCAACCTGGTCCAAGGGAAGAACCAAGAACAGAATCAGTCTCACGTATTTCTGTTCTCACTGGCATCTTCTAATGACTCTATAAATTCACCTTTACTGACTGATCTCTTAGCCTTTCCCCAGCCTTCCTCCAAGGCATTGGAAGAATCTAAAATTTCAACACCAATAAAAATATTGTCATCTCCCTTTCACCCTAAACTCCTCAGGCCAAATGAAATCTGACTAATCTTCTGTTTGTAAATCTTTTCTTAACATAGGAATTTTAGTACATGAAAATGATACCCTTTGAAGATCTTAGGATGACCCTAGTTCAAAAACTAGTCACATCTCCATTTTACTCACTTATTTGGCAGTATTTGTTGAATACCTGGTTTGTGCCAATCATTGCTCTAAGCACTTGGATTAAAGCAAGGAAAAGACAGACCAAGTGTCTGGTCTCATGGAATTCTGTGGGTGATAGACAATAAACAATTAAACAAATAAATATATGTTACAATGTCAGATAGAGATGTTATATAGAGAGATAGAAATGACACACGAAGATGGTAAGAATAATTGATTTAGATGGAGGTAATAATCAAAGAAGGCCCCTCTAAGGAAGTAATATTTGAGTAGATACTTGGGACTCAGAAATATTGGCATTTATGGGAAAAGCATTCTAGGGGGAGGGAAGGCCCTGAGGAAGAAAACAACTTGGCACATTAGAAGGAAAGTCAAAGAGGTCAGTGGGGCTAAAGCAGACGGAGTGAGATTGAACACAGCAGGAGAAGGTGATCGAGAAAGAGAGGCAAAGATCACATAGGAACCTCATGGTAAACACTTGGGTTTTATTCCAAGGTGACGGGAGCCATTGCAGGATTTCAAGCACAGGAGTGAAGGAATCTGGAGGATCCCTGTGGTAGCTGAGTGGACAATTAAGTGTTGACAAGCAAGAGTGAACATAGGGAGATTATCAGATAATGACTTAGATCAGTGTTATAGGAGAAGGTGGTGAGAAGTCATCAGATAAGACTTGTTGATGGATTGGAATTATTTAAGCAAAGTCCAAAATTATTATGAACCATTCAAAGAAAGATCCTTACTTTAAAAAAAAGCGGGGAGGGGGGGCTAACTGACCCTTCATAACCTCATATCCTGATTCTGGCTCTCTCTAGCTGGGCGACTGCTACCATCTATCTACCAAATACTTCACTCATCAGAAAACTACAATGGCTGTCCATTGCCTCCACATCAAGTCTGCACTCATCAGACAGACATTCAAAGCCTCCCATCTACTGTCCTCCCTTTTTATCTTTCCCAATCTCATCTTTTATTAATACTATGTTGTAAAAGGCCTCCATTGTTTAGGCCAGCTGGGCTCTTCAGTCTCCTGAATGTGATCTGTTACTGTCTGCCTTAAGACCTCTACTTATCCTACTTTTACTGCCTGTTAAACATCACACTGTCACCAATCAAAATGTTCATTTTCCTTCAAGACATTTTGATCATCTGACAGACATCCTTCCTCCTCTAATATATGTTAGTTAATATTCAAGAGGTTAGTGTTCAGAAGGTTAGTGTCTGAAAGGTCTGAAGGGGTGACTGACATTAATTATGAAAAATAAGTAAAAATACAATATAACTACATCTACACCTACATCTCTATCTCTTCACTGGTACCTTCCAGAATACTTCTGAACAGATATAGAAGAGACAGGAAATTCTGCCTATCTCCAGTGGGGCAGAACTGGACGGCTAGGCTGCAGAGCTGAGAAGGAAACAGTTCAGTGCAAGCTTTTTGTACTTTCGTTTTTTGTACAATGTGAAGGTGAAGCTTATTCAAAAGATAAACGGCGCCAGGAACAGTGGCTCATGCCTGTAATCCTAGTACTTTGAGAGGCCAAGGTAGACAGGTCACCTGAGCTTAGAAGTTTGAGGCCAGCCTGGGCAACATAGCAAAACCTCGTCTACTAAAAATACAAAAATTAGCTGGGCATGGTGGTGCATGCCTATAATCCCAGCTACTCAGGAGGCTGAGGCACTAGAATCGCTTGAACCCAGAAGGTGGAGGTTGCAGTGAGCCGAGATCATGCCACTGCACTCCAGCCTGGGTAACCGAGTAAGAATTCGTCTCAAAAAAAAAGATGGCGTTGTAAATTAAGAATTTAAATAAACCAAGATACATGCTAAATCAATTAGAAACACAACACAATTAAATCTAATGTACATTTTTTTCTAGTATTTTCAGATATACAGCATAATGAGCCAATCTACCCAGCTTTATTGTCGACACTGGCCCATCAAAGGATGTAAGTCATTAAGGAAAACTTGTTTGTAATGTTTATTTATTCATCTCTCTAATAAATATGTGTTGCTCACAATGTATCAGGCCCTGTGTTGAGCAATGGGAGTCCCAAGGTGAGCTCTAAAGATAAGGTTCCTGCCCTCTCCAATCACACACGTTTTTATGTACTGCTTTGAAATTACTTCATAGTCACCTCATGAGTATATATCAAATCCTCCAACCAGATTTAAAATGGTTGGATTCTCTGCCTTAAGGATTCTGGATTATATTTCCTAAATAAATCTTTAAGCCCATTAATCTGAGATTTTCATTCCATGCCACACCATGTGAGCTCACCACTTTAGAGGTGTTCTAGAGACTAGAACAAAGAGGCAGATTTTATCTCAATACGGGCTTGGGACTTCTCACCCTTCCTACTGTCAGAGCTATGCTTTGATCTCCCCTGCTGTGTCTCAGCTTGCTCACTGGTATCCTCTGTCCTGCTTAGTCAGGTCTCTTTAACAGTCCTTTCGGCCAGGTGCAGTGGCTCACGCCTGTAATCTGAGGACTTTGGGAGGCCTAGGCAGGTGGATCACGAAGTCAGGAGTTCGAGACCAGCCTGGCTAAGATGGTGACACCCCATCTCTACTAAAAATACAACAAAAATTAGCTGTTTACAGTGGCGGGCACCTGTAATCTAAGCTACTCACTCGGGAGGCTGAGGCAGGAGGATCACTTGAACCCGGGAGGCAGAGGTTGCAGTGAGCCAAGATTGCACCACCTGACTCTAGCCTGGGTCACAGAGCAAGACTCTGTCTCAAAAAAAAAAAAAGAAAATCCTTTCACATTATCAAGTCTTAGGTACCTCTGCCCTCAGGACTCGTTGCAACTAACACCACCTTTCTTCCCATCTCTCTATGTCCAAACTCTGCCAGTTCTTCAGAGTCCATCCCAACTTTCAACTATCTGATTAAATCTCCAAAATCTCTCTATATCCGTAATGTTTGCTCTACATATGTTTGCAAACCACCTGGCTTTTATTCTATAAATGTTAAAAAAAACTTATGCCTCATTTTGCCAAGCACACTCCAGCTCCTTGAGATCAAAGTCTGTATTATATATTAATTTTTGTGTCCAAATAACACATAGTACAAAGATGGGTTAATTCATGGAATTAAATTTAGTCTGGAAAAAGCAATGACAACTTAGGAAAATTCCTAAGTGGGAGAATGCAGAGCTGAGTTCCACAAAGATAAACCGGTGACCCCATGGGCCCTGTTTATCATCTGGACTGCACTCACCTTGGCCTGCATCTCAGTCAGGTGAGCCATGAGCTCATCTAACTGAGCAGCTGCTGACGTTTTAGAAGGTGGTGCTGATACCTTTGGCTCTTGGGCTTCACTACAGAGGGAAAACAAAAAAGTCATATGAACAAATCAAAACTCAAATAATGTTAAACCACACATAAAGTACTGGAAATGCAATTGTAATAATGAATCCCCTGGATATGAATCTAAAATCAGAGATGGAGGTATTTAAAAATATACACTAATATGTACTGACTGAAAATCTAAACAAGTTCTCTGTGCCTTTTGTCTCTATTTCTCCCTGGCCATCTAAGTTATAAAAAGTATTATATCTCCTGTCAGTTATTGTCAAAAAATAAAAATAAACCAGAATATAGAGCAGGCATCAACAAATAAAGTCCTTGAATCAAATCTGGCCATGACCATTCATTTAGTTACTGTCTATAGTTGCTTTTCTGCACAGTTAGGTAGTTGCTACAAAGACTTTATAGTCCATGAAGCCTAACAAACTTACCATCTGCCTCTTTACAGAACAAGTTTGCAAATCTCTGGTGCAGAAAGTTTAGATAATATATATGATGATGATTTCATATTCATATAATTGTAAGTAAATTATAAATAAATAAAACTTTGGACCCAATAAACAGAATAGGGATTCTATTCAAGAATCTGCATAATCATTAGTAAAATTAACCATATATGAGGAAACAAAGTAAAGCTCAATAAATTTTTTAAAGTACATCATATAGACCATATTCTTAGATTGGAGTGAATAGAAGTACGAATTAATCATAAAAACTATCCACTTAAGAAAAAAACAAAGCACTTCTAAATAATTCTTGGGATAAAAAAAATTAAACTGAATTTCAAACCAGATAGAAATAGCAATGAAAACACACACACACACTCACTCACATACACGCACACACACGTCTTTGGGAGTTGAAAGCTAAATATTATTGAGAAGAAAATATATAAAAAGCCTTAAGTGTGATATTAAAAAATGAGGAAGATCAGAAATAAACAAAACTTCCAAATCAAGAGTCTCAGAAAAATCTAAAATAATCGAACAGAAGGAATAAACACATAAATTAATGAAATAGAAAACAAGAAATAAAACAAAAACTGACAGTTTTGGGGGTATCATTGTATAAAATTTCCAAATACATAGAAAAATATAGAACATTATTTCATTCTATATATAGCCCAGAAACTTTTTAAAATAAAAAAAATGATGTGCATGCGTGAGAGAGAGAAAGTTAAATAAAATTAGTTGAAATGTGTTTTTTTAAAAAGACATAAAAAATTTTAAAAAGTCATGGCTAGGTGGTGTTTATACTGGTCATCCAAAAATAGTTCAAAATTAGGAAAAAGATTAACATAATTCATTAACAAATAGGAGAAAAGCTTTATAAACACAATGATATGTGCTGAAAAAGCAGTGGAAGACAAATTTAACAACACTTCCTGTTGTTGAATATCAAGAAAAATAAGAAAAAGTCTATAAACTGATAAAATGTTTCCATAAGAAATCTACAGCAAGCCTCATAATTGATAGTCAAATATTAAGCAGATTTCTAATTAAGAGGTAAGTTGGACATAGATCCTATTATCATTGGCAATCTTCAACATTATTCTAGAATACATTATCAAACACATTTAAAAGTAAAATAAGAGGATTATATAGTTGAAAAAAGGCAGCACATCCTCATTCTTTCTTTTAAAATAGATGGTATAATAACTTCCCAGGAAAATGTAAGACAAACGACTGAACAACCATTGGAATGAATAAAAAAGATCAGGGTGGTGATTAGATACAAGAATAAAATGAAGCAGTCTCTTTCCTACTGATCATCAATCAGCAGTTTGAAAATCCAATGAGAAAAAAAGAACCTGTTCACAATTCTAACAAAAGTTATAAAATATCAATAATATATTTAACAAAAAATGTGTAAGAATTCTATGAAGAAAAACCATTGGCAGACATAAAGGAAGATCCACATATCTAATTAACCAATGAGCAAAGGACCTGAATAGATGTTTCTCCAAAGAAGAAATAAAAATGGCCAAAAGGTATATGAAAAGGTATTCAACACCATTAATCATCAGGGAAATGCAAATCAAACTATTATGAGATACCACTCACAAACAGATAGCTATTCTCAAAAAGTCAAAAGATGGCAAATGTTGGCCAGGGTATGGCGAAAAAAGAACACTTATACACTGTTGGTGGGAATGTAGATTGATACAGCCATTACAGAAAATAATATGGAGGTTTCTAAAGAAATTAAAAATAGAAATACCACATGACACAGGAATCCTTCTTCTGGGCATACACAAAATAAATGAAATTACCACTTCGTAAAGATATCTGCACTCTTATGTTCACTGCAGCATTATTCACAATAGCCAAGAGGTGGAAACAACTTAAGCGTCCATCAGTGAATGGACACCAATGGCATAAAGACATTGTGAAATATGCACACAAACACAGCAGAATATTATTCAGCCTTAAAAAAAAGGAGATCCTGCTATTTGTCATAGTACTGATGAATTGGAAGGACATTATACTAAGTTAAATAAGAAAGAAAAATATTGCATGATCTCACTTATAGGTGGAATTGTTTTTGTTATTTAAAAAGGTCAAATATGCAGATATATCGGTGATGAGGGGTAGGAAAGGGAGTGAAAATGGGGACATGCAGGCTGGAGAATATGAAGTAGCAGATATGTAAGATGAACAAGCCTAGAGATCTAATGTACAACATAAGAACTATCGGTAATGAAATTGTTGTATTTAGGATTCCTGCTGAATGAGTAGATTTTGGCTGTTCTTGCCACAAAAACAAACAAACAAAAATGTGTAACTGTGTGAGATAATAACTATGTTAATTTGCCTCACTATATTAACCATTTTACTAACTATTCATATCCCATAATATTGTACACCTTAAATATGCACAATAAAATGTATTTTTAGAAAAGAAGGCCTACATAAATGAAGATAAATATTACGTCAGTTTCCCCTAATTAAATTGTAAATTCAATGTAATTCACATAAAAATTCTGACATAATTATTCAAGCTAATTAGTAAGGTGATGTTAACATTTATGGGATAGAACACTCAAGACAATTTTGAAAAAAAAAAAAATAGGAGGGGTGTGTGGTGTCTCACACCTGTGGTCCCAGCACTTTGGGAGGTCCAGGTAAGAGAATCACTTGGGACCTGGAGTTTGAGAACAACCTAGGAAACATGAGAGACACCTGGTCTCTATAAAAATTAAAAGTTTTAAAGAAAAAAAAAAAACAGGAGGGAATATTTGTCTTGATAGATGTGGTGTCTTATAGAGTAACAATAATTAAATTTGTATGATGTTGGTAAAAAAAAAAAAAAATAGATAGTGCTGGGTGTGATCGTTCATACCTGTGATCCCTCTGGGAAGCTGAGGCAGGAGGACTGCTTGAGCCCAGGAGTTTAAGACCAGCCTGGGCAATATAGGGAGACCCTGTCTCTACCAAAATTTAAAAATCAGTCAGATATAGTGGCACACACCTGTCGTCTCAGCTACTCAGGACGCTGGGGCAGGAGGATCACTTTGGCCCAGGAGGCCAAGGCTGCAGTGAGTTGTGATCACACTACTGCATGCCAGCCTGGACAACAGAAGCAGAATGAGACCCTGTCAAAAAAAAAAACCAAAAAAAAAAAAAAGAAGAAAGAAAAGAAAAGAAAGGAAAGGAAGAAGAAAAAGAAAAAGATAAAGATAAAAAACAAATAGGTCAAAGGAGTAGATTAGAAAACCCAGAAACAGGCCCCTGCACCTAAAAGAACTTCCTATATGATCAATGTGGCATTTCAAATCATCCAAAACAGACTACTCCACTCAATGAATAACAACCTATTTGGGACAAAATAAATATAGATCCCCAACACACCATATACATGAATACATTTGAGACAAATTAAAGATAGATACAAATATTTTTAAATGTAATGATAATAAAAAAATGAAGAATATATTTTACAATTTGGGGTAATGAAGGCTTTCCTAAGATGGACACAAAATTCTGAAGTGATGTCAAAAATGAAAAAACAAACTGATACAGCTAAGTTCACAAAACTTAAATATAAACAAATATTTAAAACATAACATTCAAGATTTTAAAGAAATCTATAAATAATTTCGAAAAATAGAAACCTGAGCTAAGGATTCTTTTAAAAAGCAGGTTTCAGAAAAAGAAACTCAAATGTTTATTACTATATAAAAATACCTCAACCTCATTAATCTTTAAATTTGCAATTTAAAGCAATGAGATGCCAATATTTACCTATCAGTTGAAATTTTAAAAGAGGGATAATATGCAGTGTTGGCAAAATATGAATTTTATATATATATACACATACACATTTATATATACCATAGGTGGTTAAGTAAATTTATAAACACTTTTGCAAGGCAGTGTCTATCAACATTTCAGATGCATATACCACTTGATTCAGCGATTTTGCTACTAAGAATTTATCCTACAGAAAAATTGGACATATATATAAATATATATGCAAGGACATTTATTAGGGTATAGTTTCTATGAGCAAATTGGAAATAAACCAACAGAGCTAAAGGAAAATAAACTATGGCTCATCCATGCTGTAGAATAACATGCAACTGCTAAGCAGCCATAGATTTATGTGAACTAAGAAAGACTTTCAACATACATTGTTAATGTAAAAAAACAAAAGCCCAGATCAATATGAAAATTACACTTCCAGTCTGGTGCAGTCACTCACGTCTGTAATCCCAGCACTTCAGGAGGCTGAGGTAGGAGGACTGCTTGAGCCCAGGAGTTCAAGACCAGCCGGGGAAACACAGGAAGACTCCATCTCTATGAAAAATTTCAAAATTAGCTGGGTGTGGTGGCACGTGCCTATGGTCCCAGCTACTTGGGAGGCTGAGATGAGAAGATAACTGGAGCCCAGGAGGTCAAGGCTGCAGTGAGCCAAAATAACACCACTGCACTCCATCCTGGGCAATAGAGAGAGACCCTGTCTCAAATTAAAGAAAAAAAGAAAGAAAAAATATACTTTCATTTATGTA